AATAGAATTAAAAATAGAAGAGAAGAGAAGAAGAAAGAGAAAGAGAAGAGAATAGGATTCGGAATAGAATGGAATGGAATAATAGGAATAGAATTAAGAATAGAATAGAATTAAGAATAGAACAGAATAGGATTCAGAATAGAATAGAATGGAATAATAGGAATATAATTTAGAATAGAATAGAATTTAAAAAAAGAATACAATAGGAAATAAGAGAATAGGAAATAATAGAAATAGAAAAATTAGAAATAGAGCTGGAAGGGACCTTGGAGGTCATCCAGTCCAACCCCTTGCACAAGCAGGAGACCCTACACCATTTCAGACAAGGGACTGTCCAGCCTCTTCTTAAAAACCTCCAGCGATGGAGCGCCCACGATTTCTGGTGGCAAGGAGTTCCCCTGGTTAATTGTCTTCCCTATGAGGAAGTTTCTCCTTTAATTCCAGGTTGCTTCTCCCCTTGATCAGTTTCCAACCATCGTTTCTTCTCCTGCCTTTCTGGTGCTTTGGAGAACCGTCATAATAATCACGGGTGCCGGGACCCGGAAAACCAACTTGGCGTGATCATCCTCTCGATCTCGCCGCCCAGCTTGGCCAAACCCCCCTTCTCCTCCCCCCGAGGTGCGGGGGGAGAGGGGGGAAGAAGGAGGCTTCAACCAGGGACCCAGCAGCCTGCAAGTCACCGTATGGCTGCAGCCAAGACGCCTGTCTAATGAAATGTCAACATGTTGCAAGGACAAGCTCATTAGCGGCCGAGGTTGGCCATGACATGGCACGGATGGACGGACCGGGGGGGGGGGAGGGGGGGCTCGGCTGGAATGTTTTGGACTCTGCTCTCAAACGTCCAGCCAGAACTTTTTGAAACCCCCAAGAAGAGACAGGAGGACAGTCTGTGTCCACCTTATAAACTGGAATGTCCTTTAGCCAAAAGTCAGGGGCAGCTGCACAACGGCGTCCCAAAGACAGGGGCGCTTCGGGGTTCAAGCAGTGGGTTTTTAGGGTGCCACGTTTCAAATCTGCCTGGGGAGAGAGGCTGGCCTTAAAAGAGTTGTAATTGCAAAAGAAAAGAAAAAAGGATAAAAAATAATCAGTTTAATACAAGCATTTTGCATCGCTTAAAAATATGGATGAGCAATAGAAACATACAGGAAGTGTGTTTACAGGTTAACAGAGTGGGAAGGGACCTTGTAGGTCATCTAGTCCAACCCCACGGCCAAGCAGGAAGCCCTACGCCATTTCTGACAGATGGCAGTCCAGTCTCTTCTTGAAAGCCTCCAGGGATGAAGCTCCCACAACTTCCGAGGGCAAATTCTGTTCCAGGCGTTGATTGTTCTCACTGTCAGAAAGTTTCTCCTTATTTCCAGGTTGAATTTCTTATTCAGTTTCCGTCCATTATTCCTTGTCTAGCTTTCGGGTGCTTTAGAAAATAGCTTGACCTCCTTCCTCCTCTCTGGGGCAGCCCCTCAAATATTGGAAGATGCTCTCCTGTACCCCCTAATTCTTCTTTTCTTTAGACTAGCCAGACCCCAAACCTGCATCCGTTCTTCATAGGGTTTAGTCTCCAGGCCTTTGACCATCTTAGCTGCTCTTCTCTGAACTCAGAGAAGACTAGTAATTAAATTAGATTCACACAGTTGGAAGGGACCTTGTGGGTCATCTAGTCCAACCCCCCTCCCGCCCAAGCAGGAGACCCTACACCATTTCTGACAGGTGGCAGTCCAGCCTCTTCTTGAAAGCTTCCAGGGATGAAGCTCCCACAACTTCTGAAGGCAACTTCTGTTCCATTGAATACCAGAGTTGGAAGGGACCCTGTAGGTCATCTAGTCCAACCCCTCTCACCTAAACAGGAGACCCTACACCATTTTTTTGACAGATGGCAGTCCAGCCTCTTCTTGAAAGCTTCCAGGGATGAAGCTTCTGCAACTTCTGAAGGCAAGGTCTCGACTTATGACGGAGGCCAAAATTTATGCTGCTAAGCAAAACATTCGTTTGAGTGAATTTTGCCCCCATTTTTAACAACTTTTCTTGCCACGTTTGTTCAGCGGATTGCTGCAGTCGTTAAATTAGGAACACAGTTGTTAAGCGAATCTGGCTTCCCCTTTGATTTTCCTTGTCAGAAGGTCGCAAAAGGAGATCACATGACCCCCGGGGCACAGCGACCTTCATAAATATGAGTCAGTTGCCAAGCGGACGAATGTTGATCACATGATCATGGAACGGTCGTCAGTGTGAACAACGGTCCTAAGTCGCTTTTTTCAGTGCCGTTGTAACTTCGGTCACTAAATGAAGTGTTGTAAATCAAGGACTACCTGTATAGATTGTCCTCCACTTATGGCTACTGTTGGGGCTGTTGCTAAGCAAGGTGTGGGGGGGTTAAGTAAGTTGTGCTGGATTTTGTGATCCTTTTATCCTTTTTTTTTAGCCCGGGGTTGTGAATTGAATCCCCTGCAGTCGTTAAGTGAATCGGATGGTTGTTAAGTGAATCTGGCTTCCTCCATTGACTTTGCTTGCCGGAAGCCAGCTGGGAAGGTTGCAAATGGCAGTTATGCAAACCCGATAAATAGGACCCCAAATCTGAATTATCAGTCTGAATGAGCCATGAAGCCATGAATTCTCCCTGCAATTAATTAATGCCGTTTATTTTATTTATTTTCCCCCTCACAAATCTTAAAATCAGAAAAATCTCTGAATGGGCCTGGCTGCCCTTTTAAAAGCCAAGCACCCAGGTTTCTAGTCCTCAGGATGGGTTGGAGAAGTTTTAAAGCCAACCTATCTAAATGTTGGCCATGGGTGGGTGGGGGGGCAGAGATTTAACCCATTGCCCCACGAGTCCACCCCAATGGACCAACATGCAGAACACTCAGAAGACCGATACCTTGCTTTAAACTTCTCCAATTCCATCCTGAGGACTAGAAACTTGGCGCTTGGCTTTTAAAACGCAGCCACCTTTTCTTTTTTTTAAAAAAAAAAACTGTTTCCTTTCCTAAAAGACTTTTTTTTTTTCTTGGCACGTCAGCCATAAAAGTCTGCTCCTTGTCTGCTCTTTGAAAACTCAAGTTAGACAAACTCTGGTTCGAATCCCAAGGAAAGTACATCCTAGGAACTTAACCCTGTTCCTTGACAGGTTCAAATCTGTCTGAATTTGGCAAGCCCTTTTCGCCTCTGGCTCTGATTTCGATGCCAAAATAAACCCGGCCTTTCCCTGTTAACATTCCTCACCAACTCCCCCCTCGCCTGGTGTTAGACAAGCCAGCTAATTCAGCATCTTCTTCTTCTTCTTCCTCCTGCATTCCGATGTTCCCAGATTCCACAGCGGTACAGAAAGTTCTTCCACCAGTTCCCGTCTTGGATTGAGTCAGCTCACCGACGTGTATAACGTTCAGAAAAAGTCAAAAGCCAGAAACCTTTTGCACTTTTCTTGCAGACGTTTCCTGACCCAGCTAGGTAACATCATCAGGGCTAAAAGGGAGTGGGA